GGGGGGGGGGGGGGGAGAGAGAGAGAGAGAGAGAGAGAGAGAGATCTGTTTTCTTTTTTCTTTCTTTTCTTCCCCCTCCATACACACAGAGAGAGAGAGAGAGAGAGAGAGGTGGGAGAACGAAAGGAGGAAGCATCGTGGATAGAGGACGAGGAGTGGGAGGAAGAAGGACGAGGACAGCAGGAACAAGGAGGAGGAGGAGGAGAAGTAACAGCAGGAAGATACAGGGAGGCGAAAGCCGAAAAGGAGGGAGGGTAGGGAGGGAGAAAGAGATGGAGCTGAGGGAGGAGGGGGAGAGAGGGGAAGGACTAGCAGAGGAGGGGAAAGCATAGAGGAGGGAAAAGAGGGAGAAGAAAAGTTAGGGGGAAAGTCGGGGGGGAGGGGTTGCTGAAGGTGTGAAAAGGCGCCACATGGCTTTGCCACGTGGCGCAAATTTTTTCGGTTTCTCTCTTTGTGTCCGTGTGTGTGTGTGTGTGTGTGTGTGTGTGTGTGAGAGAGAGAGAGAGAGAGATGCCTCCCCCCTTCGTGCATCACCTGACACATTTGCTGTTGTGAGCGAAGCCGCAACAGGTCATCTAGTGTTTGTGGAAGTTCCCAGCATGACCCGTACTAGCTGTTTTGTATTGTAGGGGTCAAATGTTGAATACATGAGCATGTCAGCAATGTAAACCGATCAATGTGGTTTTACTGCGTGTATTGCATCGCTTGCTGGAATGTGAGTAAGGATATCTACCTGCATAACAGTGTTGACCTTTCTGATCGGTTTTGCTGCAATGTTTTGTGTGCCCAGCATGACCTGTACGAGCTGTTTCTGAATTGTAGTGGTCGAACTTTGAGTATAAATCGTGTCAGCTAAGTGGCTTGCCCCAATGCGAGTAAGGATATCTACAAGGATTGTAAGGATGTCCATGAGAGAGTTTGATTGAATGTCGAGTATAAAATCGTGTCAGCGATGTGGCTTGTCCGAATGAGAGTAAGGATGCCTACAAGGATTGTAAGGATCTCCATGAGAGAGTTTGATGATCTTCTGCAAGAAGCACCTGCTGAGGTTGGGGCTCCTGTGGAATGTGAACTCTGTAACAAGATGCGACCACAAATGACAGGCATGTAGCACAGTTGTGTGGTTTACAAACGTCTGCCAAAGTGGGAAGAAAAGGAGAAGAATATGAAAAGACAAGACTAATCATCACACATGGCAGAAAAGGAGAAGAATATGAAAAGACAAGACTAGTCATCACACAAAGAGGGAAAACAAAAGAGAATGGGGTTTTATCGTTTGCTTCGTTTTGTCTCTGGTGTTTATATTACTTTATATACGTGCGCTCTTTGATCAATTGTCATGGGGCATTGGGCTTCGCTCCACTACACAGCATACAAAATGCACCTGGACCCATGGTTCCATCCCTGCCGACTGCTGACCCCGACCGCCGACTGTATTGCAGCCGACCAGTAGGGCCGACGGTCGGCTTGTGCAACACTGCCTGGACCGGTAGGTGCCGACGACCCCCGACCGGTAGGTGCCGACGGGTCGGCAGCCGACCAGTCAGGGGTCCCCGACGGTCGGCGTGTGCAACACTGCCTGGACCTGTTCGAGGTTTGGTACATTCAATATGTTTGATCAGTGCTAATGTATCTGGTGTACTTTCCAGTTCAAATGCTTTTCGATTGTTGAGTAGAGGAGAGGGCCTTGTGGAAGGCAGTTTGGGACTGGGGACACTGACGATTGGAAGAGTGACTGGTTGAGATTGGGTATGTGTACCAATGAGGGAAGAGGCCGTTTCCGAAGCTTTGTCCGGTACCATTTTATGGACCTGAATCAGGGAGTGCGCGGTGCTTGAATGCCGGGGGCAAAGGCTAACTGTAGGCCTTACGGCTTGACGACTGCATTCTATAACTGATTTGGTCAGATGTAGCATACTGCGCAGCTACACGGGCCTGCAGGGCTCGACCAGACGGAAAATAAGTGCCCTACAGGCCCTGTGTCGTTTCAGCCTGAAAGCCTGAAAACAAGGGCCTACAGGCCCTGTGTCGTTTCAGCCCGAAAGCCTGAAAACAAGGGCCTACAGGCCCTGTGTCGTTTCAACCTGAAAGCCTGAAAACAAGGGCCTACAGGCCGTGTCTTTGCAGCCTAAAAAAGGGCCCTCCAGGCCCTGAGTCTTTTCAGCCTGAAACGGAGGGCCATTTTCAGGCCCTCATAAGATCGACCTGCCCTGAAACTTAGGCACCAGACCAGGGTTTTAGCACAGGCCATTTTGGGCCTGTTTTCAAGACAACCTTTGTTTGAACTTCGGCGCCAGGGTCTGGCTCGTTTTGGCATTGGCAAGAGCAGCCTCCTGGACGGGCCAGCACTATATAAGACTGGCCCGCCCTGCAGGCTGCAGGTAGTTCATAGGGACGTCCCAGGCACTTCACGTGCAGGAGGCAGGAGGCAGCCTTCAGGATTCGGCAGCAGCACTCTGGAGGAGCGCTGCAGTAGTAGTAGTAGCGTTAGCAGTAGTCTTCAGCGCTGGGCGCTATTAGGAGCTAGAGTAGCGTTGGAGAGAGAGAGATGGTTGGCGGAGGCCAAGGAGACTTACCTGTGGCGCCATAGCTCCAGCTTCTTCTTCGATGTGCCTGCAACAAGGCGCCACCTTCACAGGCTAGTACCAGACTGAGAGAGAGAGAGAGTGCTTCTTCTTCCTCTTCTAAGTACATCTCTTTCTTCTTCCTCTTCTAAGTCCATCTCGCCCTCGTGCTCTCGCTACCTAACTTCTCAGTATCTGCAGACTACGAGAGAGAGAGAGAGAGAGAGAGAGAGAGAGAGAGAGAGATTGGTGACTTTGGGACTTGATGACATTTGGATCCAGACTCCACATTGGGATTTGAGTTCTTCTTCTTCCTCTTCTAAGTCCATCTCTCCCTCGTGCTCTCGCTACCTAACTTCTCAGTATCTGCAGACTACGAGAGAGAGAGAGAGAGAGAGAGAGAGAGAGAGAGGTGACTTTGGGACTTGATGACATTTGGATCCAGACTCCACATTGGGATTGAGACATTGGACGAGGGATTATTTGGGAACTGTACCGAAGACTTGGTGTTGACGACATTCCCATCTTCCCCTCTTCTTCGTCTGTGTATGGTTGGGGACTGGCGCATTCTTCCTGTGTGAGTGCCAGGCCCCTTCACACCATGGAATGATGATGATGTATGTTTGGTCTGCATTGCAACATTGATTGTTTGGATCATTGGTATATTAGCCTTCCGCTGTGCTATCTTGTACTATGTGAGAGAGGTCGGTTCTTGTTCTGGCCTGCACCTTTATGGTATGCGGCATCGAACCTGTCTTGTTATGGCTAGTCTTGTGTTCTGGGAAAGTTCCACAGCGTTCCACTGTTATCAGAATTGTTGTCTGTCTCACTGGGTTGTGGCTTATCACGTTCTTGTTTTGGTTGGCATTCTCCTTTGCAGTGTTTGGAGGAGGCGCATCGACCGGTGGACTGTGACACCGTAGCGAAATGGATTCTAAAGAACAGTGCCGAGTCCGAGAACATGAACTGGTGAGTGGACATTGCAAACCTAACTTATTGAAATCCAGCTCATAGGAATTGTGTGGAGAGCAGCTCTCTCTCTCTCTCTCTCTCTCTCTCTCTCTCTCTGACCCAACTCACTTTTTCTCATTTTGAAAAGGTGGGCGAGTCTAATCCGATCGCTGTGGGTGTGAAGGAACGTTGATATAACAGGTTCATCTGTCTTGCATAAATGGCATCGAGTGCCGTCAACTCAACTGTTAACTGTTGTGTATTGTGAGGGATTGCTGGGAGTTGTTTGAATTAGCTTTTATGTGGAAAGGGTAGGTGAAAGGGTTTGTGAGGGTATGGTTCAGTCAAGGGACGAACATTTTGACCGAAAAGGTGTCCAGACCTTGGGCCTGGCCCATTTGATCTCTGGTCGTGTCTAATTCATGGGCTCTTGAAAACCCCGCTTTTAGATTTTTGTCAACCCAATCCGATTTCTCTGGAAGTGCTTGGAGGAGCTGAATGCTGGAACTCTTTTGAGTGACACAAATGAGGATGGGAGGGACAATTACTTGCATGAACAACTTAGGCAGCCCGGCTTGTTATTCTTCGCTGTTTCCCAAGTCCTTTGAACCAGGTCAGGTTGAGGACGTTTTCTTTTTCTTATTCCATCTTTCTCTTTTTCTTTTTCTTTTTTTCTTTTTTTTTTCTTTTTCTATTTCTTTTTCTTTTTCCTTTTCTTTTTCTTTTTCCTTTTCTTTTTCTTTTTCTCTTTCTTCTTAAAAAGGGGGTAGTAAGAAAGAAAAGAAAAGAAAGGGGGTAGTCCCTAACAGTTGTGTAATCGTCCAGTACGATTTATTTATGATCGGTTATTTTAACTTGTTAAGTTATCAAGTTATTAGTGTGCCATTCAGCCACATGGGCTGGGTGTGAAGCTGAGGTTGTAATGCGTCTGCTAGGTGAGTAAACCTGGTCCATGTGGAAGGTCAGGTTCATGCTGGTCTTGGACAGGGATTTCCGGAGCTTGCATATGCCAAGCACTCCCTCGCCATCCATGAAGAGGACTCTCTGCTGTTCGGATATGAATTCATTATGGATGCTATGTCACACCTGCTTGTAACGTCTGTCATTGAGTGAATAAGTTTTGTTGTCCCATGCACATGCATTGCTGAAAGTGACAGGATGTTGCTGTCTCTGTGTGTACGTGTGCGACCAAATATGTTTATTTATGTTTATGGCAAAAGGATTCTGGCCAATTCCAAGCCATGCCCGAAGTGCAAACGGCCTATTGAGAAGAATCAAGGGTGTATGCATATGAGCTGCACGCCTCCATGCAAATACGAGTTCTGCTGGTGAGTTGATGGGAAAAAAACGGAAACCTGCCGGTGAGTTCAGAATGAGAAGCGCTGGCAACATGCTGTATTGTTTCCCTTTCTCAATTGCCATATTCACAGCATGTTCTCAAGTTACTGCATTTTCTGTTTGCCTCTGTGTGTGTGTGTGTGTGTGTGTGTGTGTGTGTGTGTGAATGCGCATTTGAAACTGAGTATGTTTGTGGACTTGCTTATCCTTATACCTATTATGCCATAAGTTTTAACTTGACTTCTTTTTTTGGTTAGGTATTTAATTCACAGTTCAATCGGGATTTGAATTCAGGTCTGTATTTCAACAATTTATGGGTGTGCCAACTGAGCTTTGTCGTTTTTTCTTTTTTCTTTTTTTCTTTAATAAGAATTTAACTCGCAGCTCGATCTGGACTCGAATTCAGGTCCGTGTTTTAACAATTCATGGGTGAGTTCGGCTTTTGGCTTGGAAGTCTTCTGTACTTTTGACTTGTTATTATTCTTCTCGTTTTGGGGGCCGACTTTCAGTTTGGAGAGGCTACTGGGTTGTCAATTTGAGGTTTGACGGTAGATGAAAAGAATACAGAGGTAGTGCTCTTATGCCCATGCCTCGTGTTGCAAATCAACCATATCTCACCATCCCCTCAACCTCCCACTCCTGAACTCAGTCCCCCTCCCCAAAGTCCTTGAACCCTCCATTTTGGCAGTCTGCATTCTTCGGTCCGCATGGACATTGCTATTCATGCGTCACATTGCTATTCATGCGTCACATTGCTATTCATGCGTCAGCTGCATGCCTGCAGATTGCCCGGAGAGCGCAGATCATTGTTGTGTATTGCGGGGACTGAGGCCCTTTGCAATCCACCTGCGGAGCCTAAGGATTGAGGCCCTATGCCATCATGGGTCTTCAAACGCTTCAACACAGAGGTGGGTGCACCAGCTGCTCAGATGGCTTTTGAGGCCCTGTGAAACGCATTTGATTGTTGGCGACTGGCAACCGCTTTCCTTCATCATGATGACGATCTCCTTGAGGTCTGTCCGCTTGTGCTTCAGACCTGTCTGCATATGATGATCGCGAGTCCACGCATCTCTGTCTCGTCGACCTTGTCACGATCTCAGTCTCGGGTTGGTAGAGAGAAAAGTGCTGTTCTATGGCGCTATTGCAAACTCTGTTATCAGTCTTGGGAGTATGGAGGGGTCACAGTTAGGGTCATTGGTGGCAGGGGCCCTTTAGCCTCAAATGCACGTAGTGCATGAAGCTGGTGCCCAGTTTTCTGTTCTGGTAATGGACCTTGGAGTTTTGTTTCTGTCACTCTCTCTGCTATTGGCTTATCATTGAAGCTGATCGGCCCCAGGGCACTCAGAATTATGTTAGTCTGGCATCTGATTGTATCTGGTTTTGAACTTGGCTCTGTATTTAAACAGTTCGTGGGTATACCAACTGAGCTATGCTCGTTGGTATGGTCTGTGATTGTTGCACGATGACATTGACTAAAGTTATGGGTACTCACCCTTGTTTGTGCCAGGCTTTGTCTTGGGGCATGGAGCGAGCATGGAGAGCGAACAGGTGGTTTCTATGCCTGCAATCGGTATGAGATTGCTAAGCAAGAAGGAGTGGTATGTGATCTACCAGATCAATTGCTCATGCTCTGAAATCAGCACGTCAACAGCATAATGGAAAACTGTTTTTGACTTTTCACCTATAGATTAAACCATGGAAACTGCAAGCGGGTCTGCTCTTCTGTTGGATTCAAATGTGAAAGGGGGTCGTCAGTTGTGGTCAAAGGTTGCTGGGGGATGACATAGGAGGATCTTTGAGCTGTTGGCGTTTGCGGATGGAGCTGCAGGGCAAGATTGGGGTTTGAACAGCCTGTTGTGTCTATTTCAACTCTAATCCTGTATGTCAGGTGTTGTCAAATGCAGTGCCTTTTTTTCGTTCTTTCGAGAAAGGGCGGCCACCTTGAGACACCATTGTTGAACTGATGGCCCCACATAATTTTATTATGTGCATCACATCAGTATTCAAACTTGGGTCTATATGTCAACGGTTCATGGGTGTGCCAACTGAGTTAGGCCCGTCAACGAGTCAAATTCAAAGTTAGTTTGTGCAAGATATGGCAGTTTGCATAAGCGATCCCGTTGGAGTTGGAGCATACGACAAATTCAACCGTTCAATCATCCCACACTCTGGCTTCCTTTCCAGGAACAAAAAAAACATAACCTGCAATCCCTAAAGAGGATCATTAAGTTGTTGGCGTTTGTGGATAAGGCTCCCTCTTCCAGGATGCAAAATCACTTTGAAAGCCAGAAATTCCAGCGCTGCCCAGAAAGCAGAAATGCACTGATATTTTACCAACGGAGAACCAAAGCACCGAATTCCGAATGTCAATGAGAGCATACTCTCGCCACCACCAACATATATTATCCAGAGCCCTTCCTCCTACTTGGCGCTCAGCGCCCAGACTACTATCACACAGCTACTACCAGCCTACAAATTGACAATGCAACCTGTTGATGTCAGCAGCACAACCAAAGTACATGAAGATGTTGACCCTATAGACCACCGCCAAGATCAGGTACGTGCCTTCACATCCTCATCGTCATCTCTGTTTCTCTCCTCCTCGTCTTCTCTCCCTCATACACAAAGACCACCACCACCTCCGCTGGCTGTCCAGGCCGAGCCCGGCTATGGATGGGCTGGCTGTGGCGCTGCCCTCAGCAGCGCCCTACTTCCCTTCGGCGCCCAGACGCGGCCGCACCCGTGGACTAACACAGCAGCCTGCAAGCGCTAGCTCTAGCAGCGCTGCCGCATCTACATGCAAGTGCCCGAATGAGCTCCATGGCGCGCGACACTTTCCTATATCGAAAGTGTTGGGCACACGGCCTGCTCTTTCCCGTCCGGACTGAGTTTCCACTAGCTTCAGTCTCGGCCAAAGTGTCTGCGCCCAGGCCTGTTCAGACAGTGGCGTGGGACGGAATTGGTTAGGCATGCCCAACCCTGCCACTGACCTTCAAACCTAGACTACCTCTAGACTTCTTACTACCTGAAAATCAGTCAACTGCTGCACCCGGTACATTAGAATTTGCATACCGATATGAACAGAAGATGCAGCAGGCTGTGGAACAAATGCAGAAGGCTCAGGCGACAATGATAGAATCTGAGAACACACATCGCCGCCCGTCTACATTTCAGGTTGGGGACAGTCTGGGTTAAGTCCTCAGAACTGGGACAGGAGCACGGGATTTCCCGCAAGCTCATGCCTCAGTACTAATTTCCCGCAAGCTCATGCCTCAGTACTTCGGACCATGGGAGGTCTTTGATATTGTCGGCACTGATCCGGATGGACCGTCTTATGTAATCCGGATCCCTGGTCATCTCCGCACTTATCCTGTCTTTCACGCCTCTAAGCTTGCACCTTTCGAGGAAACTGATCAGTTTCCCTCTCGTCGCTCAATGCTGCCCCCAACCATGGATGGAGAGGTCGACATCGATGACATCGTCGACCACAAGGAAATGCCAGTTCCAAGACCGACAGGCAGGGGACGCCCTCCAAAACCGAAGCTGCAATACCGGGTTCGGTTCAGACATCACACGGATCCAAAGGAGGATCAATGGTTTACCAGGGAGGAACTGATGCAGACCGCTCCTCAGGTTGTGCCCAATATGAAAAGTCTCTGCAGAAGGGAAAGCGCCAGATTATCAAAGACTGAACTTCTCAGAGGAATATCAAAGTTATGGAGGAGGGAATGCGAGGCCAAGGCCCCGATGAGCCCCTTTTGGCTCGGTTATGCATCACGTCGGCCGCCCTAAGTGAAGGCAGGCCCGACGAGGGCCTGAGGGGCCCTATTTCGGCCACCACACAACTAAGGAAGTTCAGGCAGTTGCGCAGCGCCAGTTGGTTGAAAGAACCCAGGCCCTGGGCCGCCTGTTTGCATGTATCGAAGGCAGGCCCTGGGCTGGATACGGGATGTGGGCCAAACACAGGCCGAAGGCAGTTGGGCACAAGCAACCACCTCAGGCCCTGGGCTGATTTGTTCGGACTGGACCTCAGCCTACCGGGGCCTACCGGAAGCTTCTTGGGAAAGGCCCTGCGCAGCCTGGGACAGAACGCAGGCAGGCCACTTCCATATAGCAAAGGGCCTGCCTCCGCATTGGACATTCGGGCACTGGCTGCTTTGTGCGCAAGCGCTGCCGCGCTATCGCCTGCCAGTCTCATGCGCTCACGGGCTAGCTGGGAGGAGCAGGCAGCCATAGCCGAGCTACGCTGCTGTAAGCTGGATAGGGTGCAGGGTGGTCCTTGGCCTCGCAATATCATCGATGTCCACATGTCCGTCCATGGTTGGGGGCAGCATTGATCTTCTTGAAGGAAAGTGCTCAGTTTCAGCAAAAGAAGCCAACTTGGATGTGTGGAAGGGATGCAAAAGACATACGATGGACCATGTGGTTGGTCTCCTACTGTATCTAAGACTTCCCGGGGTCCGAAGTACTGTGGCATCAGTCTGCGAGAGATTCCCAATTCCTGTCCCAGCTTAGATGACTTTACCCAGAGTCCAACACCTACCTGAAATGTTGATGGCCGTCTGTGTCTGTTCTTAGATGCAACCATGGCATGCTGAGCTTTCTTAATGTGCTCGACAGCCTGCTGGAGCATCTGTTCATACTTGACAGCAAACTCTATGCTGCGTGGGACAGTTGTTGGCTGATTTTCAGGAGGTCAAGAGAAGATCTTGGCTTCCAACCAAGATGCAGCTGGTTGGGAGTGATACCGGTAGTGCTGTGCACATCATTGTTGTACAGGCTGGCGATGAGAGGTAACTTCTACAGGCTGGCGATGAGAGGTGACTTCTCACCCCAGTCATCTCGACTTGCCTTGCACATTGTTGTTGTACAGGCTGGCGATGAGAGGTAACTCATCCCTGTCATCTTGATTTGCCTTCATAGAATGTCGAAGCAAGTGCTGCACTACCTGGTTTATCTGCTCGGCTTGACCATTTGACTTAGGGTGGTTCCCTGATGTCATTTGCAGTCGGGTGCCCCTCTGTTGGGCTGTACTTAGCCGCAGTTCGCTTGTGAATCTGACACCCCTGTTGCTAACGATGGACTTTGGGAGACCGGAGTTACGTACCCAGTTGTCCATAAACAGCTTGATGACGTGGTCAGTCCTAGCTGTCTTAGACATAGCGATAAGTCTAGCATACTTACTAAACCTGTCCACAATGACGGAGATGTGCCGTTTACTGCCCTTGCTGGTCACAAGGGTATCCATGAAATTTGTGGACACACTCTGACCTGGACCAGCATGGATAGGCAAGGGCTTAATAAGCCCAAGTGGTGCCTGTATCCGTGGCTTGTCACACTGGCAAACCTGGAAGGTCTCTGCATAACTCTTTGCGTCATCCATCATTGTAGGCCACCAAAAACGCTGCTAAATTTGCTGCTGTCTTTTTATAACCAAAATGTGTGGTTGCATTGGGGCATTCACCTAAAAATAAACTACGCAAAGACTCTCTATTCGGAACACACAAACGTTTATTCCTAGCCTTCTCAAGGAACAGTAAGCCGTCAACCAGCACAAACTCATCAGAAGTAGTCTCGTCTTTAGCTTCCAGTTTGTGACTGATCTCATACATGATCGCGTCCTCTTGATAGGCTTCCACCATAGATCGAGTTACATCGTCAGAAATTCTAAACTCAGTCACTAGCGTGCCCAAATAGTCTGCCCTACGTGATAGTGCGTCAACCAGCTTGTTGTACTCTCCTTTCAGAGGGTCGAGCTTGAAGTCATACATATCTATGACTTCAATCCATCTCTTAAGTGCACCAGAGAGCACATTTTGTGTCTTAATCCAACGTAGTGTCTCATGGTCAGATCTCACATAAAAGAATCTGTCTAGGAGGTAGTGCCTCCAATGGACCAGTGCTCCATAGAGGGAAAAAAACTCTCGCTCATATGTGGACTTCCAATGAGGTAGTGCCTCCAATAGACCAGCGCTCCATAGAGTTTTTGAGATGGCATCTTTTTGCGCATGTACTCGATCGCTCTCAACTTTTTCCCTCCTTCTGCGCAAGGACAACGCCCATGCCTTATTGGTTGCCACCTGTGGTCACTACAAAGGGCTTTTCAGGATTCGGAAGTTTGAGGACTTCCTAGTATGTCAGGGCATACTTCAGTCTCTTGAAGGCGGCCTCACACTCTTCGGTCCACTCCCATGGGTTGTCAAGGCGCGCGAGGTGAATTAGAGGGGAAGCTATAGTGCTATGGCTCTTCACAAACGGGTGGTAGTAGCCTGTCATCCCAAAAAATGACCTCACCTCGGTCACAGACTGAGGGCACGCTCACACTGGGTACCGAAACCGTAAAACTCCCAAAAAAATGTGCACACGGCTGGTCACACACAATGGTTCCGACCCCAAAAATGACCTCACCTCGGTCACAGACCGAGGGCACGCTCACACTGGGTACCGAAACCGTAAAACTCCCAAAAAAATGTGCACACTGCTGGTCACACACAATGGTTCCGACTCCAAACACCCCATTCGCAAACCCATTTGTCAGCGGCCTGCCTGGCCGGGGGTTTGAGGAATTTGCGGTAACCTCCAGAGGTTACCGCAAAAT